TGCATTTTATTACGAGGAAATGGATATCCCTGAACACAATCACCTTTTGTTTGTTCCACAGGAACCGGTCAATAGCTAAGCTAACATGTCAAGATGCTCCAGTCTAGAGGAAACAGACTGCTAAGGGTTCAAAGCTTCTTGGACCTGTTGGCCCTGGCTCTGTGATAATTAATGTCCATGAACGTCATCAATGGCTAGGGTAGCTCTACATAATACATGCATAGACTTCCTATAATTCAAAACTTTGATTCCACTTTTCTTCACAGCTTGCCCCTAATTAAATAGTTTTAAGGACATTTTTCTCTTCTCACCCCACAAAGAATGGACAGTTTCTGCTTAGCTTTGCCATTTTCTATGTTATAATTCTAAATACAATACATAATAGTTCATGAAAAAAACAATGCTTGGCAACAGTTTTCATTTATTCAAACTTTATGGTTAATCTTCACTTTTCCCATTCCCCTTCTTTCATAAATATTTAAAGTTTACAGTTTCAACTTCCTTCCCTTAGACAGCTTATAGGCAACTCCCTTTATGTGTCTGAGTTTGGGATCTTTATCACCAAAACCCAGTGCTGGATGATAGGAAGTAATCACTTCAACCTCAAAAAAAGCTCTTCCAAAAGTCATTAGTAGGCAGCTGAGCTGTCTTTTACTTGTCTTTACAGGGCTAATGGAAAAAAAGGAACAGTTTAGTCTCATGCAGACTAGATCATTTCTGTTTCACTGTGATAACATTACACTAGCACAGTGCTTCTCACTTGCCACTCTGGTTTTTGATCATGGGTATGCCAGCGTCCCAGGTAACACTTATGTTTGGCAGATGAGAAGGAAAGCACTGTTAATGCACAACGGGGCTGGAGTAGAGCACTGGGGATTTTGTAACATAAGGGAGGTAAGGGTAAAGAAACTGAGATTTGTTCCATTATCAATGCAATGTAATGCTCTAGTAATAACACTTGAATAACTCAAAGTGGCTTTCAGATTTCAGTATTGCAGAAACCAAGTTAAAAATAAAAACCAAATCACGTATATTCCATTCATTCTTACACAAGACTGGCCATACCTAGCAGAACTGATCATTATGACCCAAGGCAGAAGTGTACCCAGTGGACAAGCTGCTGCTGCGGAGACAGTGATCAGAGAGATACATGTCTTTACATGCTATTATACTGATAACTACTGTGGCCAGAAGGAAAGAACATTTCTTGGAAAAAAAAAGTGAAAAACTGATCAACTGATAGCACCAGGTTTTTAAGTAACAGAGGGTACTAACTTTCTTCTAACTATATTGGGAAGAAACTATGGTAATAAAATAGTCCCACAACAGTGGGACCACATTGATAAGTCACACTAGTTGGACATGAATGATGAAACTTCTTGGTTTTCAATGAATATAAAATATCAATGTTTATCTATAAAGATAGGAATATTTTCAAGACCTATAGTCTACTGTGGATCACTGTGTGTGAAAGTTAAAATACACTTAATGTTAATATGGTCATTATTATTAACAGTAATATGTTAATAAGGTCAGTTTCAAATGACTAGCTATGCACATTTTTTTTCCCTCTGCACAACTTTTTCCACTGTTGGGTGAAATCTCTGTTGGCAAATGACAGGAAGTGCCGGTTTTAAATGAGCCACAGGAAATGCATTTCATTACCTAATTGCAGTTAGCATCTACCTTATCTTTGGGGCCAGGCTCAGTTTCCTCATCTGTAAAAATGAGAGCTGAGCCACATGATCTTTAAGATCCTTTCCACCTCTGAGATTTTAGAATGGTTTTCTACAGCACTTTTCTGTTTCATCGACATAAAGCTAAAACTTAAGGCCAATCACTACGAGGTTCTCAGTGGTAAAATTAAATGGACTAACAACACCCGAGAGCCCAGCTGTTAACAACTCTCCAAGCCCGAGTCTGAAAGTTGGCCGATTGGGGATTGAGCACCTTGAATGGTGCAGACTGCCACAGTATTGAGGTGCTATTTAGTAAAGCCACGAGATATTGTTCCTATTTAGCAATGACCCAAGTTTAAAACTGTTTCAGAGTTTACCATGTATCTCATGTATTTCAAAATACCACACTAGAGATGGGATACAAGTCCTTATTTTAAAGTGTGTAAAATTTTCCAAGGCTGGGCTGAAAAAAGGCCCAATCCGTTAAATCACAAAATTGTACAACTTGGAAGGAGACTCAGAGGTCATTGATTCAAAAGCACAAATGCAGCATCCATGCCTTGCCCCCACCTCCTAGAGTAGCCAGACCGTTGATGTTTCTTGTAAACCTGAATATCAGCAACGGTATGCAGAGTGATCTCTTCCAGTGGAGCACTGTCATTACTTATCAAGTGTTTACAGTCAGTGTTGGCAGAGAGTGCATTGTGGTAAATGAACCCTTTGGTTCTAACTCCTCAATACTGATGATATGGGCTAAAAAGTGGTTTCTGATTTAAAACAACAAAAACAATTTAAAAAGCAGAATTTTAAGAAAGTCACTTGGGGGCAGCTAGGTGGCGCAGTGGATACAGCACTGGCCCTGAAGTCAGGAAGACCCGAGTTCAAATCAGACCCCAGACCAAACACTTGACGCTTACTAGCTGTGTGACCCTGGGCGAGTCACTTAACCCCAACTGCCTAAAAACAAAACAAAACAAAAAAACAAGAAAGTCACTAAAAAGAGATTAGAGGTAGTACCTTCCCAGCTGCCAAAATCCACAACATATGCTTTGTTTCCCATTCCTACTGCTGCACATGATTTGAAGTTAAGGTACTACGTATACATATTTATAAACACATTTAAAGTACACACTTGCATTTAATATACAATTCACAGAACTCCAAATGAAATGGATTTTTTTAAAGAGGGGATAAATAACACAGATGCTTACAGATGTCTCTTATTAATAAAAAGGGTCACTTTCTAGCCAGAAAGATCACCTAAGGAAAAAACCATTTGGCAATCACTCCTTTACTTGCAGAAGGTAAAATACTTAACTGAGACAGATTTCAGTTACAGTTGTCAACTAGATTTCTTTTCACAGCCCTTAAAACCTCCTGAGGTAAAATGGAGTAAAAGTTGCCAAGTTGCTGGCTACCAGACTCATCAGTCTGTTCAATTCTGGATAAAAGCAGAGCTCTGGAAGGCTGCCAAGTTTCCTCTCCTCTCCTGCTCTGGCAGGAATTCTAAGATTGTAGAAGACCCATAAAAACACACAAAACACACCCAAAGCAACATCTTGTTGTATTACAGTACAGAATGCACAGTGTAACAACATCTCACAGTCCACATGAAGATAGGACCAAAACATTGGGGCTAGGAGCGCCCCCAGTTTTAGTTCTGAGCTTAGATTCACACTGTGGCAAACATGCTGGGTAGTTTTGGGGTCCCCCGCCACGAATCTAGCAAATGTCACCCGCGACACCTTTCTAAGAAACATTTCTTCTTATTAACCTTTTGATTTATGCACACTATTTAGTTTTCTAAGTTCCTTAAAAAATGGCTGTGGGCCTGGGTATAATGGGAGACAATAAAAGGAAAATCAGTTGCTACACACAGCTCATGGGCAGGCCAGAGCACTGGTACTTGCCACACCTCTGTGTTCTTACTATTCCACAGGCAGCAAGGTGAAAGAGAACTCTGAGGGAACCAACAAAGTTTCCATTCAGACCTCATTAACTCCAGTGAACTAATGAAGAAATCTTTGCCACTCCAAACCCCCAGGGGCCTCCAGGCATGTAGTTTTCTTTTTCCTGCCCCAGCTGAAGGTTTTCCGAGGACCTGCGAGTTCATACCAGTCTCACAAGAACTGACTTCAAAAACAGAAGACAACATGCTCAGACTCTGGCTCTATTTAGCTTGGCCAGAATTTGGGTTTGGGGGAAGGCCTGGCTCTTTCATTCATTTATTTATTTGCCTTAAAGATGCTGATTAATAAAGCACAACTCCTTAAGAAGCAGGAGGAGGCTAGGCCCCTGAATTAACAGTCTATTTTAAACCGAGGGACTCCAGACAAGTGAATTCTCTTGGTTCTGCCCGATCGTGTACTGGGGCTGCCGCCAGTCACAACCTGAGGTCGTGCCTGGATCCAACCAGGGCAGTCAGCTGGCTCCGCAGTATGGGCTTTAAGAGAGACTCTGGTAATTAAGAAAAGTTTACTCGAGGAGTTTGGCTCTCTTAATCTTGAGATTTCATCTTCATTCATTTTCAAATTTTGTCCTAAATTTCATTTGGAACTCAAGGTATGCCATTTGTACTAAAAACAGACAGGCACACAAGCCTGTCTTTCCATGCAACACCAGGCTCTAAGCATGGCAAGAGTACCTGGAGCTGGCTTATTTCAGAAAATCCCTCAGAGGAACAGGTATGGCTTTTGCCCAACTTCAAAACTTTTAAAACTACTTCTTCTTGCTGCCTTATGATAGGAAATTGTTCTTAACTCTCTGTGATTGGGGGGAAAAACAGATGCAGGGGATGAGAACATCATATGTAAACTAGGGCTCTCAGAGAGTCTTCAGAAGGGTACAGAGAATCCTATTTTTTTATTTTCTTGAATTACTCAGCACTGAGTAGAATAGAGGCACTACTGATGGGGGATTCCAGTGATTCTGTGTATACCTGAACATCCCAACCCAACAGGATAGCCAGCAGGTGCCAGACAAAAGGAAGGCTTCTGAAATGACCACACTCTAACTTTAAGACACCAGATGCCACTTACAAGGTGGACCTATCGGTTTTTCTAACGTTGGCTACTTGTTTTGGTGACATTTTAGCCACATGTACCTAATGAGGATATATTTCATTGCTCTGAAGACTTTCCTTGTCTCAAAGACAAACACAGAACTGATTTTCTTAGAACCTTATAAAATACAAGTAATTGAGTGGATTATGAGTGAAGCCATTCATGACGACCAAAATTATTTTTTGCCAATTTAAAAAACAATAGAGTGGTCATTTATAATGTATCAAAGTCAGCTGAGTAAGGAGTGTAAACACAGATATCAACCATCCCTTTTATTTTATAAATTCATTTTTTAGCATCCACAGAGTCAAATTTCCTCACCTACCATGATCTTGGAGAAAAAAAAAGAAAAAAGGATGGTACCCTTTTCTGAAAAGCATTACAAATATCCAGTATTAAAAACTGCAATTCAAAATTAGCCTGGGTCAATACATAATTATGACTGAGGAGGCTGGTGAATACTGAGGAGTGACTCGAACGGACAAGGACACTCAAGGTAAGGCTGAAATTCCATCTCAATGGTCACACCTCTCCCAGCCTTTTCAGTCCATCCTCTGTCTTTTGGCTGAACCGTTCCTTTCCTTGCATGACCCCATAATTCCACCAACGTGGATCCTCCCCTCCCCCCCCATGCAGAGCACAAGTCCTCAGGAGTTGCTGCCAAAGCAATTCATCACATGGGAATCAACCTCCAGTAAGGAACCTATCCTAACTTAACTAAGGCTTATGCTTTCCTGGCGTGGCCTTTGAGAACCCATGAATACAAATGGCTATTTTAATATAGTTTATTCATTAGGGAAGGTTATAAAAATATCCTATTTACATGTGCATGTGTTTGAGGCATTTGAAAAATAATCAAAAAGCCTCAAGTTTAGTCTGTCGGCAGCCTGGGTTTTCATGAAAATTACCTTAAACCAAGTATGACAACGCATTTGTCAGTTTCATTTGGAATTGGCTCAGTTATTCAAATGGAAGAGAGTAATAAAATCAACTGCTTCCTCAAGCAAACAAATAACCAAAATCACCCAGCCACCCTAGTTATTATAAACAGGTAAGAGAAGTCTGGTCCAGGGCAGAGGTTTAGCTTGCTGATTTTCAGCCTTGGAATGAATAAAACAGTGGCAATTCCCCTCTTCCCCTCAACGAAACAAAAAACTAACCTAAACAAAAACCAAGAGTATAGAGTGGAAATGAGACAACTCCTACCCAGGCAGTCTACACAATTCTTTCAAGCAGTCCATGAAGTGCTCTGCAGTGACAGACTTAGGGAACCCCTTTCCAAGCATGGAATGTGCACCAAGTGAATGCTAAGGTTAGTACAGGGAGCAGGAAGCCACAGAGGGGGCACATTCAGGTTTAGTCCTTGACTAAGTGTGCAAACTCTCCTTGAAGCACTCAGAGCCATAGCTCACATCTCTTTTACCCCACGTGGTTTCTCCATGTTCAGTGAGTACAATCTCCACTGAACGAAACAGGACTTGGCCAGGGAATTGGTCTTAGCATTTACCCCTCTACTGGAGTCTGGGTGAAGTGACACCCTGGCCCAGGAATCACTGCATTTACTGTTACTGGATATAGTTCCTGAGTCTTCTACTTTCCTTAATGACCAGCAAAGGAGGAGGTGAAGTACACCCAGCAGCCTGGCTTCCGGAACAATTTGTTTTAGATAAGACAGTAGCTTTTGATAAAAGGAAAGGGGGGGGAGGAGGGAGGGAGAAAAAAATCCCCCAAGAAAAAAGTGGAAAGACCTTGCAAAAGCAACATAACTGACATTTGCTGATTCATTCCCTGCACTTCGGAGGGAGGAAAGAGAAACAGCAGCTGGTTGTGTGCACAGCGGGCGTGGCGATGCACACCTGCGGGAGTCACAACACCTGGAAGGGAGGCCAGCTTCCACTTTACCTCCAAGGGCTTTGTAAGGCTGATATTGCAGCAGCAGCTGCCACGAGCGCTGATTTACAGAGGAAATCCAAGTCTGGGGGCATGAGTTCTTCAGAGCAAAATAAAAAGGTGGCAACATTAACTGTGCTGACTTTTCCTTTCTCCCCTCCCATTTTCTCAAGGGGAATGAGCAGCACCCAAAGGCTTGTCCATCACAGCACCAGAAAGAGGATGAGCACTACCAGCAAGATCCCAAAGAGAACGATGATCGCACACCACTGGCGACGATCTGGAAAGCAAGAAGACAAGAATTAACTTTGCACAGAGAGATGTGCGCCACACAGGAAACGGGACTGACCTCCACGTGGCTGCAGGCTGTCAAGCAGAGGCCTGAGGTGCATGCTGTGGGCAGGCACGGGATTTGGTGACCTGAGGTCCCTTCTACCTCTGCCATGCTACAAAATGTCCACCATCCAACTTGGACCTGCTGTCAGGGCTCTCTGCAAGCATGTGCTGTTTCTGGTCTAGAGTGAAAGTTCTGCTGGTCTCCAGAAAGGTCATATCATGGAACAAGTATTTATTTGCTTCGTGTACAAAGGCTCTAATTAAAACTTGATCTCAGCTTCCTGCTGCTTGATTACTGTATTGCTTTAAAAAAAAAGGGTGGGGGTTTTTGCTAATATTAGTGCTACAAATGAAAAGACCATGTCTTTTAATTATTCACCAAAAATCAAATTAGTAAACTATAACAGAATTCCTTTTCTAGGTGCTAATGGAAAGTGGAAGGAAGAAGGGGCAGCTAGGTGGAACAGTGGATAGAGCTCCAGCCTTGGAATCAGGAGTTCAAATCCAGCCTCAGACATTTGACACAGACACTAGCTGTGTAACCCTAGGCAAGTTGCTTAACCCTGATTGCCTCACTCCTTGCTCAAAAAAAAAAAAGTGGAAGGAAGATAAAAGCTGGTTTGGGATGGAGAGAGTGAATGCCTATAGCATCAAGTCCCCTAAAAAGAGGTCATATATCTTAATTCTACACAGCATCTTTTGAATTTTTTGATGACTATGAGTTAAATAATAATAGCAGTAACAGTCATAAATACATATGTTCATTCCTAGAATCTCTTTCTTCTTAAGTTCTATGCCTCAGCACCAATCGTAGAGGCAGAGTAAGGAAAAGTAAATTAGTTGGAGTGGGTCAGTTAAGAAAGTTTATCATTAAATTAACAGCTGAATGATATTTCCTTAGATGTAGATGGTGCCTAGAACCATTTCCTAAGCTTTTTTTTTAGGGGGTGGGGTGAGGGCAGGGAGTTATTCTTGACTTTCAGAGAAAAGAGTTTTGAGGTCTATAAGCCATAACAGGTGAATCTGGGGTTGGGGGATGGAGAATGTAGAGGAGCAGCTGAGGGGGTACATTTTAGACCTCTGAACATATGGGAGGTATTCAAAATCCAAAAAGGGTCCCTAAATAGCAAGGCAGGGGAGGACACTGAATACAAATTTTATGTTTCCACAATCTTTCTAAGGTAAGCCTGAGATGTGTATGCCTTTGGCTACAAAAGAGCTGGGCTAGAGTGTGAGCACAAATCCATCCCCATCATCTGAACATACTATTCAAAGTACAGAGCATTATTTTCCAAATTAAAAAAATCTGGATCTTCAGAATAGAGGAAGGAAAAAAAAAGCTTAAATCCTTCTAGAAAGTTCTACATTAATTAAATTTAAAATCAAAAAAAATTTTCATTATCATTTTACTTAATTAAAATGAGGTGTATAAAGATGTTTACAGGTCAGGAAGGCAAAGTTATGGCCCCCTGAAGAGGCAAAAAGTACAGTGTAATTCTTACTATACAGATAATTTAGACCAAATTCTCAAAATACATGCATCTCTACTGTGAGAAAGCATTTCAAAATAGTCAACAATGAATAAGACTGCTCTGGGGCAAGTAACAGTTTTCTTAAAATTTGTTTATTCATATTTTTTAAAAGACAAGTAAATTTTTCAGAATTATTTAAAAGAGATCTTGGCTATTTATTTTTAAAGTTTCACCTTAATTTAAAAACACAACCTTTCTCAAGATACATAGTAGATATACTTCCTGCAAAAAACATAGAAAGGAAGCCCATAAGCACACTTCCTGTTTTTTATTACCCCTGACATCCTGCTATTCTCAGGGGCCCATAGAATTCTAGTACCATATAGTTTTTCATCTCGTGCTTTTCCATGGGTCTTTTCTTACTTATCAACAACCTCTTCCCTCTCTTCTACAGCTGCATTAAGTTGGGACTTTTTAATCAAAGAAAAATGTGTTATGCCTAAGCTAAAACAGGCAAAGAATGTTCTTTTTCAAAGTGATTCTCCTTTGAAGTTGTATATTGCTTCTGTGAAGCATGTACTGGGTAACCTCATGTATCTGTTACCCTGCTGGACTTCTCATAACTATTTCCTGTGAGTATGAATATCTGAAGCAAAAACTCCATGGCCCTTTTTGATCTCAGGTGAGCAGTCGTAACCATCTGTACAAATAAGATAAAGTGCCTAACTCAACCATTTAGAGAAGAGAACGCAATACAAAAAGAGGAGATTTTTCTCCAGGTATGTTTTTTTCAAAGAGAAAGTCAATTGCATTTTGGATTGATGGAAGAAATCATCCAATATAGCTAAAATAAAGTGAGCTTATTTTCTCTAAGACAGTTAACACAAAAATTCAGTTTTATCATTTACTGGGTCACTGTGTTCCACTGTATTCAGAAAATGATTAGTTGGTATTATTTTACTATAACATTTTAAGACAAAGTTGTTTTTTTTTTCCATGGAGCCCCTGAGAATGGGGATTCTGAGTGTGCATTAGACAGGGAAGGAAATGAAGTAGAGAGAAGATAACTGAGTGCCTTTCCCTGGAGAGAAGGGAGGTATTCAAGAGAAGGTAGGAAGTACATAATTTGGCACTGGATGGACATATGGAATAAGAGTGAGGAGTTGAGCCTTACCAAGGCTTGGCTGACACCAAACTATTGAGTTTAGATAACTGTAAAGATGGTTGGTGCTCTGGAGAGTAATGGGAAAATCTGAAGGGAAGGTCTGGGAGGAAATAAGCTCTGCTTTGGGTGTGCTGAGTTAGATGCCTAGGGGACATCTGACTGGAGATGCCCAGCAGGTAGTTGGTAATGTGAGACTGCAGCTCAGCAAAGAGTCTAACACTGGATATAGAGATCTGAAAATCAACTGGGAATCTAGAATAGCTGAATCCATGGGAACTGATGAGATCAAGTGATCAAGTATGCGGGTTAAGGAGAAAAGGGAGCTGGGCAAAACCTAAAAGACACCCCAAGTCAGAAGTGGTGAGACAGGTACAAGAACCAGGAGAAAACAGCTGACACAAAACCACAGAAAGGAAAGAACACGGGCAGCTAGGTGGTGCAGTGGATAGAGCACTGGTTGTGGAGTCAGGAGGGCCTGAGTTCAAATCCAGCCTCAGACCAAACACTTGACATTTACTAGCTGTGTGACCCTAGGCAAGTCACTTAATCCCAACTGCCTAAAAAAAAAAAGAAGAAAGGAAAGAATATCCAAGAGGAGAAGGTGAATAACAGTGTGAAAGAGATAAAGGAGAATGATAGCTGAGAACAGGCCATTAGATCTGGCAATTAAGAGATCGGCAGTAACTTTGTAGAGACCAGTTTTGATTGAACGATGAGGTCAGAAACCAAGGTATGGAGGTTTTAGAAGGGGCCAAAGCCTCATCTCTAAACTTCTCCTTTTCTGTTCCCTACAAATATGCCCATGTCTCTTTTATCCTCAAAAACCCCTTACTCACCCGACTATATCCAAAAACTATAGTCCAATCTCTCCTCTCTTTTTAGGGTAATCTCCTAGGGGTAACAAGAACAAACTTTTATTAAGCACCTACTCTGTGCCAGGCACTGTGCTAAGCACTTTACAAATATTTCCAAGAGTATCACTATCTCTTCAGAGAAATCACCTTTCTACAAGACAATGTGTAATATGTATTTAGGTCCTGTTTCAAAACACTAATCGTTTATCATAAATTTAGTCAAGGAGGAAAAAGCAACACAAGACAGGGATCGATTGAGGATTCCTCATCCTAGTCTTGAGACATCCCAGCAGTGTCCCCAGTTACCTCAAGGATCAATGTTAAATTGAGGGTTCTCTGAAGTTAAAAAGCTCACATGAACCTGAAAAATGTAGTCTCTACAGCAACTCTGGGGGAAGGGTATGTAAGCAGAAGACAAGTGCTGCAATTTCAAAACAGCTAGGTATCAAACAGGCTTTTTTCATCCACCATTTACTAGCTTAAAAAATCTCAGTCCTACAAACCAAATGAACCAGTTTGTTTAAATACCTGATATTGATTTTAATTACAGCTTCAAATAAAACTAATCTAGCCTTTGGAAGATCAAAGGATTAGTTTTCAACCTTTAGGCAGATGATAAATGTAAGGGATAAGTGTGAGAAGAGGCAGCAGAATCTCTTCTCCATCACTTATTTTAAATGAGGCCTCTACTCTGGCAAAGGGAGATGGAAAGAGAGGGAACGGTTTTTGTTATCACTGTGTAGAAACTGCCTCCATGTGCAAAATAACAATACAAAAGGGAATAAGGAACTCTGATTTCCTTTTTGCCAAGATCATGTCACAAGATTTCCATATTAAAAAGAGAAAGTTCTCATCCTCTCACCCTATCAGCAACACATATAAAAAGCTGAAAAGTGTGGGGTAGAAAGATAAAAATCAAGATGCCCGCGGCAACCGGGTTTCAAGGATTATAAAGAACAATATGCCCTCCCATATTTACTCTCTCAAAATAAATGTTTGTCTTTTAAGATCAGTACTTACCGCTGGTCATATGGGACACTTTCGCAAGTTTCTTCATCACATTGTCCAGCCGAGACTGTGTGCTGTCCAACTCATGAGAGAAGTCGTCTAACATTCTGGACAGAGAAGTAGATGAGAAAGCACATGGTAAAAAAATACAAAAAATACCAAAAAGATACCACATTGTACTCACTGGCCTGACACTTAATTAACAGGCAAAGTCCCAAAATCACAAGAGAGGAAAAGACTCTAAAACAGCCTTTGTGAACTTTAAAGGCATAAAATTACTTATGTTCATACTGCAAGTGACTAAACCCCCAAAACAAGTCTCTCACCAGAAAAATAAAAAATAAAGCTTAACAAAAGTTAATTGATTCACTTAAGATTAGTCTTTATTCACTAGCTGCAGTACACCTGGGGAAAATACAGCATAGCACATTTGTGTATGTGGCATCGGTTTCCCTGAAGTGTTTCATCCCTTCAGTCAAGTGAATAAACTATGAGATGCAGCACTGAAATGGCCTTCTAATTGTTATCACAGGCATCTTAAAAAAAACCAAAACAACCAAACCCCCCCCCCCCCCACTGGATACAGAGTCAGAAGTGTTGGATTTGAGATCCAGCTCAGACACTAGGTGACCTTCAGCAAGTCACTATTTTTCTGGGCCTGTTTCCTCATCTGAAAAATGGGAATAATATTTGTATTCCCTACTTCACAAGGCTATTACAAAGTACTAAAGAAAGGATTTAATGAGTTGCAAAACATTATTATAAGTGTGAGCTCTTATTATACTAGTTGACAGTTTCTCTGTTGGGGCCTTATTCTGATGCCTCATCATGGTGTGGAGGTGATTGTGTATGTTCTCAAAGACGTTTCCAAGGGAGCCCAAATTCTAGGACACACGTTCTAACCAAGCTCACAAGTCTTTTAAGTCAAGCCTAGCAATGGACTCTGTGTCAGTCATCTGGGCACCAACTCAGATTGAAAAGGCTCATGGTCAAAGGGCTAGCCATAGAAGATGATTTGGGGATAGAGAAGGGCACAACCACTCAAAATCATCTACTCTGGTGTGGGGAACTTCTCCATAATATCAAATCACATATCAGTGAAATCCATTTAACAGTCATCTACAGCCAGGTTTCATACTTCTAGACGGTAGGCTGCAAAGAGTGGACCTGAACAAGATTAAAATGTAACCTCAAAATGTTTGACAAAATAAATAAAAATACAACAAAACACAGATAATGTTGATTTGTGGTTTTCTAAGTCAATATTTCTATTGAAACTAACAGTTGACTGTATATGTATGTCACCCACAGCCCAACACAATGATAGGCCTTATGCATTTACTACTAGCAGAATCTCTTAGATGAGAAGCAGCATGTCAGAGCAGAAAGAGAGATGGGCAGGAAGCAGGATGGTGCCCATCGGCTGCAGCACACGGACAGAATGAACATTACTACACTGTAAGGAAGGACATATAAGAAGAACTCAGACACTCAGGAAGACTTGCGTGAACTGATGAAGTACAAAACAGGTAGGAGCAGAACAATTTACATGATGATCACAGTAAAGTAAAGGAAAACAATACTCTAAGACTTAGGAACCTTGATCAATGCAGATCAACCATGACTTCAGAGGAATCGGGATGAAATTTGTCCTGGTCCCTCAGAGAGAGAGCTGATGGACTTTAGTGCAGAATGAGGTGTACATTTTTTGACCTGGCCAATGAATGTGTTACAAGATGAGTTACTGGAAAGTGATTTTTTTAAAAAAAGAAGGAAAAAATGTCAATTTAGTATTCAAAAGATAGAAACAAAAAGTTCACTGGAGGACATAAACTGAACAGTTTCATCACTAACTTGTTAAATTTAATATATACTTTTTTGGGGGAGAAAACAAAAGCAAAACAAACTGCATGTACCAGAAGTTCAGTTCCTGTTCTTTGTGTATCTTACTTAATGTTTGCATTGCTGATGAAGTTTAAAATGAATACTCACCTCCCCGCATTGTTGTAAGGGCCAAATGAGATAATACTTGGAAAAGCACTTCATAAACCTTAAAGCTCTATATAAATGCTAGCTATCGTTATCATCATTGCTACAAAAGGAAAGTGTCTTTCTAAAAAGGAAGGAAAACAGAAAGCACTGGTCAGACACTTAAGAGCCAGTGACAAGGAGAACAAAACCGAATCCTTACAAGATGAGAATCAATAAGCACTCTGCAAACCTTTAAGGACCCAAATCAATGTGGTCTTACACCTATATTTGGATTAGTGCCAACGTGGAATTCTGAAGGGGTCACACATCTTTGAGTGTGCTTGATTCCAAGTTACAGTTACGTAAAATATGGTCACTGGCTCCAGCCCAATGGGAATAAGTAGCAGTGAATTCGAACAATATAACTGACCTCTTCAGGGGAATTCACACAACATACTATAGCTAGTCTTTAGTAGAGATTCTTCTCTGTGTGTGTCTCTCCCCACACTCCATCCCCAAATAAAATGCCTAGCACACAGCAACATACTAAAGGAAAGGTATACAAATGCCAGATACTCTTAGACCTTGGTCCCCTTACTAGCCCAGTCCCTTAAAGCTAAAATAAATATAACTATAGGAATAAATGGTTTACTCTAATATTATGCTTCCCACTGGGGGGAAGGGGGAAGGAACAGGAAGCAGGGGGAGAAGTGAAAAGAAGGTGGTTGAAAGAAGGAAGACTAGGTATTTTCAGCTACTTAGAACTTTTTGAAAAATACTGAATTAAAAATTGTAAGGGGGGAAAAACACTCATTTTACAGAGCATGGCAGAAATGGAATCTTTTTAATTAGCAAGTTCAGCTTTTACTTTGATTAAAACTATTAAGTAATTCTTCACTTATGAAACCACTAGAGTGACAGCACATGTTCTCATATATTCTGGTGAACCTTTAGCTCATAATTAATTTCAGAAAATGAAGTGCTGAATAAGGGTCCTATAAATAATTTGCAGAAAGTTAAAATGTACTTTCGGTCACAGGTTTGGCATGCATGCAATGTCCAAGAACAAACAGTCTTAGGTGTCACACTTCTAAACACAAGAGACAGAAGGTGGCCATTTAAGTGCCTTCTTGTGCAAAGGATAATGCTAGGCAGTAGAGCTGTAAAGGCTAAAATGGAAGACCCTTTTCTCAATCCTTGTACTTCCTGAGCTCTCTGCACCCTTTGATATTGTTGCTCGCTCTCTCCGCTGGAAACCTTGTTAGGCTTCTGTGATCCTTCTCTCTTCTGTTTGACCATTCCTCCTTCTGAGTCTCCTGTACTGGATCTTCACCCAGGTTAAATCTGTTACCTGTGGGTGTCCCCCAAGGCCCTCTGCTGGCCCTCTTCTCTTTTCCCTCTAAACTATTTCACTTGGTGATCTCATGCATTCAGTTATTGCTATGGAAATGATTTTCAGATCTATTTATCCTGCCCTAATCTCTCTCCTGACCTCCAGTCAGTCAACAGGCAACAGGCATTTATTAAGCACTTACTATGTGTTAGACCTGCAGCCTCGAGTCCACAGATTCCCCACCCCAGTGCCAGACACTAAGCTAAGGGATAAGGACACGAGGAAAGGCAAAAACAACCCCTATCCTCAAGTCTTCACATTCTAAGAGAGACAACATGTGAACTGCATACAAACAAAATATATATATGTGGTAAATTAGAACTACATAAAAGCCAAATCACTAGCACAAACGGAGACCGAGAGAGGCTTTTTACAGACCATGAGATTTTAGCTGAGACTTGAAGGAGGCATAGACAAAGATTCTAGGCGTGAGGGGACAGTCAGAGCAAATGCATGGAATCCAAAAATGGAGTGTCTTGGGTAAGCAACTGCACTACATCAAAGGGTATATGGAGGACTGTGATGGAATGCTATTGTATTGTAAGAAATGATGAGAAGGATGCTCTCAGAAAACCCTGGATAGACTTATATAAACTGATGCAAAGCAAAATGAGCAGAACCAGGAGAACACTGTACACAGTAACAGCAATATTGTACAACGATCCAGAGAATGGCTTATTCTCAGCAATACAATGGTCCAAGATGATTTTGAAGGACTTAAGATGGAAAATGTTATCTATCTCCAGAGAAAGAACCGATGGAATCTGAATGCAGATTTAAGCATACTTTTTAAACTTTATTTTTCTTGTGGTATTTTTTTGGGGGGTCTGTGCTTTCTTTCATAAAAAGACTAATATGGAAATAGGTTTTATATGACTCCACATGTATAACCTATACCAAACTGCCTGCCTTCTCAAGAAGGAGGGAGAGAACTTGTAATTAAAAATTTTTTTAAATGTTGAAAATTGTTTTTACATGTAATTGGGAGAAAATATTAAATAAATATTTTTTTTAAAAAGTATATGGAAGCATGTCAAATATAAGAAGACTGGAAAGGTAGGAAGGGGTCAGGTTACGAAGGGCTTTCAAAGTCAAGCAGAATTTTATATTTGATGCAGGAAGTAAAAGAAAGTCACTGGAGCTGACTCAATTGGGGGGGAGGGGAAGAGACATAGTAAGACCTTTGTTTTAGGAAGATCAATCTGATAGCTTAGTAGATGAGGGACTGGAATAAACAGAGACGAGGGAGGGAGACCAGGTTATTGCAATAACATACCCGTGAGGTAATGAGGCCTGTACCACAGTGGTGTCACAGAACAGAGATGTTGCAAAAGCAAAATCAAAAGGACATGGCAACAGACTGGACATTGGGTGGTGAGAAAAAGGGAGGAATTGAGTATGATACGTAGACTGTGAGCCTGGGTCACAGCGAGAACGGTGGTACACACAATAGTAATAAGGAAGGCAGGGAGAGGAGAGGGTTAGGGAATTAGGAGGTGGGAAGGAGAGAGAAGACGAGTTCAATTTTGAACATGTTGAGTTGGAGGTATCCAATATGGAGATTCAAGACTGAGTGAGACAATGTGAGATCTCTCAGATGGACTGAGTGTAACAGTTTTGTAGACTGTTACAAACTCAAGGTTGGTTACGCTATCCTGAATAGGCCCAAGTTTCAAGTTCCTAGAAAAACACATGATCTGTACTGTTACATTAGTATTAGGTAATGGCTAATGCTAAATAAGG